CATGATAATATTAACACAGCAACGAAATTATTTTTTTATTTTAATTATTATATTATTTTTTTTTTAAGATAATATTTATTTAATTTTTTATTTTTATTACAAATACATTATCCACATCGAAAGGGATAAAAAATAATTCTAAAAGTATTTTTATTTAAATTAAAATAAATAATCAAATCAAATAAATCAATTACTTAAAATTATATTTATTGCGTTTTAATCGAGCACAAGAATATTCTTGATTATTGGTATGACGTTAGTATGCACATTGAGCAAGGTCGTGATAGATTACGAAACCACGGGATGAACAACAAGTACAGGCATCACCCTGGCACTGTTTCTCGGTATTTTGAAACTGCAAAAGGAGCAAAAGGTCGAGATCATCGCGACGCGTGTCATCCATTCTCCTTTTCCGCTCTTAATTTCACCTCCGGCAGCTAATTGAGTTCGTAAACTCGCCGTGCAGGATCAATTACGCATTCATGGAATTTGTTGATGTGCGTTCGCCTAATTACCTTTCGCTACAGACGAGTGTAATTAAGGCAATAGCTAAGTTGATTATTTCGTCGGACGGAACGTCGAGTTTTCTACCTACGGCCTGAGAAAAATCGGAGAAATTGCTGGCAACTATTGGGTAATAACTGCCAGCAAGATAATAGAGATAAAAGAATAAAATCGTAAAAAATATTTTATATTATTCCTTTATTTTTTTTTTTTAGATAAAAAGATTTTTTTAATTTTTAAAAATTTCAATCTAGTTTATAACAAAGCTTTCTCTGAAAAAAAAATGTAACTTTATTAGAAAAACAACTTTATAGAAATTATCTAAAAACTTGCGATAATTAATTTGCCAAAAATTCATAATTTTTATGACGACAGAAGGAAATACGAATTTAGAAACGGAAGGCGCATCGATAAAGATGCTCAAGTTGGACATAACGACGAGAGGAACTTAATGTCCGACCGTTAAAAAACGATGTCGAACATAAAAATGAAAGTGACGCGCGATTTACACTTTCTAGCCAGCTGTGGAATCTCATTATTTCTGGATGACTTGCACAGAAATAGAAAAAGATCCTAGACGTTCATTCATTTCGCGTCACCCGGAAAAATTGCGCAACCTCTGCCGCCGTCTGCCTTTCATTTCGAATTGTTACCGGTACACGTACGTAAGTTTCCCCGGTGAATACGAATACCGGGCGTTCGTATCGCGGATGAAATGTTCGAGACGCGCGCTGCGACCCAACAACCGGCGCGTCGCCGCCGAGTTCGTTGAACTTCGAAACTTCGCGAGCGGCCAGATTTCACTATCTCACGAACGAAACGAGCGTTGTGTGTCGTCGTCACCACTAAACAGGAAACGGCGGAATCGACATGTCCGGATATGCCTTTTTCTCCGGATCGGATTAAGTTTCCGCAGTCCAACTCTCCTTGCGTTTTTTTTTCCCGCCGAAGAAAAGTTTCTCTGCGTGGCGCAGAAAAATATTTATCGATCTGATTGATTATTGGAATGAGAGAAACGAGCACGAGTCTTTCTTTTTTAATTACGAATAATTATGGAAATAGTTATGGAATTATGGAAATATTATTTTATGTGAAACTTCTATGATTTTTTTCAAAAGTTGTCGTGAGAGCAGAATTGTGAAAGACTTTCTAGCTTTCAGAAATCGAATATTTTTTAGAATTATCTGTTCAAGTTTCCCTTTTTGTTTTATTTTCAAATTAATTAATAGTAATAAATTGCCAAGATTAATTTCATCGTGTCGTTACGAATTCGACGCGAGAATTTAGATTTGGATTTAGATTTGCGTCGAGATACAACAGTTCCGCCATCTAAGAAAATGCATATCGGAGATGTAAAAGCATCCAAAGATCATTAAACTACGCAGCGAGTCGTCATCGTAGCGCGATAACATCACGCAATTTGTCAATGTTACGTTTATCGCGTTGTTCGTGTAAGATTAAAGTACAGGGATATCTCATCGGCTGGCAGGAATGCGGCGTAAATTGCCGTTAGATGTGCGTCTTATTTTCAAATGCGAAATGCCTCATTTTTTTTTATTCAGTTTATTCGGAATTCGCGAGCAGTTCCATTGATCATTTTCCATTGATTGGACTTAATTTCTCTTTCTGCTGACGTATATATCTCGTTTCTCTGCTCGCTTTTTACAATTTTTATCGCGATGAAAGTCCCGACTTCTATTTCCATTTTTTTTTTTGCCAATAATTTCTTTCGCAATCTCTTCGCTTGATAAATAAATATTTTTTTATACAATTTGAGACGCCTAGAACTCTTAGGTTGTTTTGGTTGCGTAAAAAGTGTTTATATCGCGAATTATACAGCCATGTCTGTAAGCAGTTAGACAACTTTTCTCTCGGAAATATTACCTTGACGAGAGATGTCGTGCGCTAGCTACTTTGCAGATGCATGCAGGAGATTTATGACGATTATAATGCAAAGATATGCAGGCCGCGGAGGAATGCGCTAAAAAAAAAACCATCGTTAATAACGAAGTGCATTTTTCTTGGAAGCGTCACAATGTTTCTCACGCCGCTTCGATGTTTCTCACGTTCGTTTTTTCCTTCTATTTTTATAAATCGTGCACGTCGAAGGTATATTCTTTTTTTTTTTTTTTTTTTTCATCATCTTACTATGGTTTAATATTTTAGTATTTGGGCAGCACGGAAGTGGACCAACCTAAAGGCATCGAGGTTGTTAAAGAGGCGATTTGCAAACTGAAGTTCAATCAGCAACTCAAGAAGAGCGAAGGCACGAAAACTCCGAAGGTCGAGCTCACTATAAGTATCGATGGCGTGGCGATACAGGAACCAAAAACAAAAACGACACCCAAGGTTAGTGTCGCTCGTTGACGTGAAAATGATTTTTATACGATAACTTTTTTCCGCATTCGCATGTTCCAAGGCTCGATTGCTCGCAGTGATTTTACCGAAGGTTATTCTTACAGCGAATTATGCATCAGTATCCGTTACATAGAATTTCATACTGCGCCGACGACAAAGGGGAGAAAAAGTTCTTCAGTTTCATCGCGAAAGAGGAGGACGCGGAAAGGCATACGTGCTTCGTTTTCGTCAGCGACAAATTAGCCGAGGAGATCACGCTGACCATCGGCCAAGCCTTCGATCTGGCCTACAGAAGGTTCTTGGAAACGTCTGGCAAAGATCTAGAAACGCAACGACGTTGTATGGTGCTGCAACAGAAAATAAAGCGACTCGAGCACGAAAATAACGTTTATCGGCAACGATTGCAAGATATTGCGGCTATTAAAGGCTCGGTTAGTTGAGAAAATGAAGAATACCATTGAATTATTTCATGATAAAAAATTATTTCCGTAATTCTCGACCATGTATGTTTTTATTCCTATTTTAGGCAGACGTGTCGACGTATTTATCGCAGCATAATCTACCCGATATTCTTCATGTACCTGGAGCTCCTACGGATTCGCCGCAGATCAATGGTACATCTAACAAGCCACTGCTGAATATGAGCAGCGACAGTAATGGAAATACGTCTAATGGACCTCAGCAACCACCGCCGGTTCCGCCGAGGAGTTTTGAGAAGAGCTTTGATGATGATTTCATAGGGTATGATCAAATTCTATAACGATTATAGATTTTATTAATTTTTATTTTCTTGATTTCATATTATTTTATTATGCAGAAATGAACCAGCGCCAGTGCCGTCGGTTGGCACCAAATTGGAAGGGTTGCTGATGGACGAGTTTGAGGAAGATTTCAATCCAAGGGCTTATGAGACTGCAGCCAATGGTCTCACTAATCATCAGTCTAATAACAATCCACTTCTTAACGGTCAGCTATCTTCAGGATCAAATTTCTTCTCGCAATCTAATGGTATCAGTCCTCCGCCTCTGCGTAAGTATACGATTTACAGAAATTTATTAATTTTTATTTTATATTATATCAAAATATTGTATTTTCTATCTAGTGGCACCACCACCAAAGACGAAAGACTCGAGACGCCAGAATGGGATCAAAGAAGATTTATTTGGTAGTATTCCTTTCAATCCTACACCGACTTTAAATATAAAAAATGAATTTAAGGATCCGTTCGAAATGGGAGAATTCGGAGCTTCGACCATGACATCTAATCCTAGCCAGCAGGAACTAGAAAATGCTATTGGTTTGTTAGACAAGAAGTTGCTGGAGATGAAGGTGAAACACATAATCTAGATCTTTTAATTATCTCTGTTATAAACAAATTGTAATACATATCGTGTAAAATTTTTTCAGGATGGTTTTAGTAGAGGGCTGTGTATTGGAACTGATGATTTTTCTTTGGAAAGCTTGGACCCACTGCGAAATTAGGATCGCCAATCAGACTGGAAGCTACGAGCGTTCAAATGAAAACTTGATTAGTGTTCTGGGATGCAGAGTATGAAGTACCAATTAACGGATGAAGCAATTAGGGTCCGTGTAAAACCAAAATTAGTCAATTATTACTATTATCCTACTCATATATTTATGATAATGTTCGATATTTATGGTATATTATATACATATGAAATAATTTTTTAAGCGTGTATCCTACACTTGCTGATAATCTACGCTAATCTATCCGCCGCTTTAGAAATGGGGTCCAATCTGAGTGACGTATTGAAACGCGTTATTGTTATGTTATGATGAGTCAGAGAGATGAAATCTCAAATCGATCATTGGAGTTGAATAGAAATAATTCTAATCAAAGACAAACAACACACACACACACACACACAAAATAATTCTAATCGAAGCAACACACACACATACACACACACACGCGCGCGCGCGCGCGTGTGTGTATGTGTGTGTATGTTGCTTCGATTAGAATATTTTATATATATATATATATATATATATAAAACTATTTAGACGACATTTATGTTCTTAAAAAGATCTTATCATGAATCTCATTGATGATGGTATGCTTGCGTCTTTCATATTTTTAACGAGATATCGAAACGGAACTAAGGAATCCTACAGCCACCAAATCGAGAAATTCATGACGGCTGAGTATCTTACATTCTAAGGCTTTAATTAAGAAAAATTTATAATGTATGTTTTACGCCCGGCCTAGTTTCATTTAAATTGCTCACAGCAATCATCTGTTAGAAAAGTGAGTAAAAAATGGAGCACTAACCGTTGTAGCGTTTAGAGATCACTAATAATATGAACGCATAGCTTTCATAGTCTGTCGATTGAACTCATACACTCAGCATATCCTCTTTCTTTGATCTGTCGTATAGACTTTTATCCTTCACTTTTCTTTTAACGAATGTAAACGGAAAAAGAAGAAAAAGTTAATTGTAAGAGAGCATGAGAACTTCTAGCTGTAGAATTTACAAATAATGTCTATGTGTTACGATGCGACCAAACATAAGGCGTTAAACGAGTTTACGTTATATGATCGTTATATGAAGAGGATTAGTAATTATGTACATATGAAATTCTTATTGTTGCTATATTGTTTAAGAATCATAGTTAAGAATATAGCATATGATTATTACTAAGAATATAGCATACGATTATTACAACTCAGATATTTAACGCCCAATGCAAATCCTCCTTTTATATATGCGATGCGGTCTATTAAATATAGGAATAATTTGAAGTTGCAACTATTTCGTTAAAACACTATCCTCGACGCTTTCACAATTGAGATGTCATAAACAAAATAACTGTCACGTTTCCAACTCTTAAAAATCAATTAATTTCTCTTCGATCATATTTTCTTAATATTTCACCTCTTTTAAAATTGCAAATAATGGCATTCCCGAGATCGGCCTTTCTTATTTTCTACATAATTTTAATCAGCAATGTCACATTGCATCGAAGTGTGGGTAATAATAATGGTAAAAAAGCAATTTAAAATAAGTATAAGATGAAAAAATAATAAAAAGTATAATTTAAACTGAATATTTCAATATTTTGTGAATTAAACATATAAAAAAATATGTTGGCAAAGAAGATCCAATAGAAGAAAGCGCGTGCTTTACTCTTCAAGAACAAACTCATTATCTAATTTCTTCTAACTGAGGAAAGTGCAAATTTTTCCGAACAAGTACAAGATAAGGTGTAAATTCAAAAACTATTTTTTATTGCATGAATGATAATATATCGCATCTATCGTACAGAGAATCTTTGTAACAGAATCACTCTTATCATGATACTTTAAAAATTGCGAAGTGTCACATAGAGTAAATCCTCGAGTAAATCATTGAAGAGACTACTATCACTTACTTGTGCATCTGAAGAAAAGTAAATTTAAAAAAAAATTTATGTAACAATTATTTGGACATTATGCTCAACTGTTTATATTTAATAATCCTCGATAGAAATATTTATTTCTATGTCGTGTAATGTTTCAAGCAATCAAAATCAATAGAAAAAAATCAATAGAAATCTACCTAATTATATAAGCGATGGGAAAGTTTTAAAATTAAATCTAAAAAAGTTTTAATTGTCTCTCGTAAAAGTTAATATAATTTAAAAATAGGTTTCCGCTCTTTTTTTTTTCTTCGCTTTCTCTTACTCTCTCTTCTCTATCACTTTATCACTTTTCCATATCTAAATGCTTTTAAGTCACGCGCGTTTTTCGCGATGATGTGTCACGTGACGTTTGTTGGGCGCGCTGCAGGCGGCGCTAGTGGCGTGAATGCGGTGCGGCACGCGTTGCGTCAGTATTCCGCGGACTTCCATCGTGTTCTGTTCGTTTTTCGTTCTCTTGTGGTTTCTCCCCGAGTCAGGGGAAGAGAGAGAGAGAGAGAGAGAGAGAACGAGGTACGCCCTGAGAACGCCACAGTAACAAAAGTGCCTTCTTTCTTTCTCCGCATACTTAGACTCCCCGTCAGGATGGCGGACGACAACCATGAGAACGGCACCAGTAACGGCGATGTGCCCGAGATCGAGCTAATCATCAAGGTGAGTATGCCATGCGCGGTCGAGGAATCGTCATGCGAGCGAGACGGATAGATCAGAGCGGGCGGACAGGCGGACGGAAAGGTGCAAGGAGGGGTGGGGGAGAGGGACAGGAGGACGGAGGAAAAAGGAGGCAGTCGTCCCGTGCGCGCTATGGGCGTGGAGCTCTCGACTGGTTTCTGTTTGCTCCCGCAGGAAACCGCAGGATTATCTTCCTGCCCCCTCCCCATCCTTTCCAAACGGAAACGCCGTGACCGTGAAAATCGACCGTTCGGCGGGAGTCGCGGTCGACCAGCATGGAAATAATTCGTTGACCGTTTTCCCCATTCGTCTCTTTCTCGCGGTCTCTCCCTCTTTCTCTTATTCTCTTTCCAGCGCGACTTTTGTTTTTATTTCGCGTCACGCTCACCCGTGATCGACACCGGGTAACGTTCGTCGTGAGGCTCGCGAGTCTGGTCGTTTCTGTCGTTCGAGCGAGGCTCCCTCGCGCGTTCGTTGACGCGTGATCGCGAGAGATCGGAACGAGCACGCGAAAAATACGTGCGTACCTACATCGGCATATAGTTCTGGACGAAATAGATCGAATCAAAAGTGTCTTGATAAAATGCAGAAAAGAATAGGACTACGTGCGAGTAGGAGCGATTCATGTTGACCAGAACCATGAGACACCTGACGACATATCTGCACCTTACTTTTTTGCGTAATAAACAAGTAGAAATCACAATTATTTATTACACACACACACACACACACACACACACATATATATATATAAATAAAAATAAATAATAATTTCAATTTTACACATATTTATACACACTTGAAAATCGCCTTGCATTAAGAAGGTTTCCAACTTGCATCAATACGTTACTGTTCTCCTTCTCGCTGGACAAGATTCAACCAATAAAGAGATAGTAGAAGGAGAGATCCGTGCGTTCATTCACATTCTCCCTTTCTAGGTCCGCCAAAACGAAAGATCGAAGAAATTTGGCCGTATACTTCAGCCAGTAACACTACAGGCGGTATTCATAGTCAGTTCTTATATTCAACATCGATCTTAAGATTACGTTTCCAACCAATAAGGTAGCTGTATAAGCCTATTAAAAACAGTTTCAAATATAAGAACAGACTATGAATACCGGCCTATATGTCGAGGCATATGTACGTGCAGTGATGGATAGTTGCAACATTTTTATTTTTCATGGGAATTTAGAATGCTGCAACAAATATCCAATTAAAGAATTTCTCTCCTAGTTATATCCATAAAATCAATTCTTTTATTGGATATGTTTAATGCATTCCGAAATCCATCACAAATTAAAGTGTTACAACTGCTATTCTGTCCGTCATCATCGTACGTGCGTACGTATGTACGCTGCTTATGGTTGTTCGACGGCCGACGAGGAAATCTCCCGATGAAGATGGCTCATCGATGCGTATGTGTGTTATGAGCTTTTCGGTGCGTGCATCTAACGTTACGCCAAGGGGTCAAGACCGGTTTACCGGTGCTCGGTTTGATGTTCGGCGCCGCAGATCCGCCGACCGAATCATCGGGTTTCCGTCGTCACGAATAGAGACATTTATTGCGAATCGGCACGCCGGTTGAAAAATCGACATTGGCTGGAATCTGATGGAAATGTGTCCTGTTTGATCACGTCGCTTCTTCTTCCTCTCTTTGTATGGCCTTGACTCTCAAATGGGTCAAAACGGCCAATTGATCACATTGCGATTGATCCACGTTCATCCACATCGGCCAATACTTAGGAATTATCCAGTGGACCACCTATCAAAAGATCTAATATTTAATAAACCAATTTGCGACTGGGTGCCACTCGACTCGATAAATGAACGCGTGAGCGATTCTTTATGCCTTGTTGCGTCTTGAGAACCGGACGTTAAATGCTCGGTAGATCGCAAGGCGAAAAGCCGCGGCGCGGTACGCCATATCATATCCCGCCATGCCATGCCATACCATGCCATGCTATGCTATGCTATGCGATGCGTATGCTACACATTTCTTTACGCATGGAGTCATCGAGGGCGTCGGAGCCGCGCACTCGCCTTCTCCCTCCGCCGAATGTTTGTGCACCCAGCGGACATTACGCGCGGCAGATGGGACACGATGGGAAAAGTCATAAAACGAGGGTCCCTCCTTTTCCCCAAGAAGACTTTCTTCTGGGCTAATGGTCCAAAATTTCATTATTCAAATTGCTAATACTATAAAAATCTTTAATTCACAAAGATTGATACAATTACTTACTTTTATATTTATTATTTAGTATTATCTGTATCATGATACATTGTCGAATGCGTTCGTGAACATTACATTAATTCATTAGGGCGAGAGGCAATTTGATAATGAACATTGTGCGTTAACCTTTTTGAAGAAATCGTGGAAGCCTCATCTATAGTTCACGTGACGTGAACTATATATGATTAGCGCTGATATTTTGAAATACAATGGGTCTTGCGATACTACTATCTTGTGATACTGTGACCTACACAGTGGGTCGAAAATGTAAGAAAGAGAAAAAATAAATTGGAATTGGACAAGAAGGCGTCTGTCGCTGCCATCCATCGTCGTCGTCAAACGAAATCTTTCATGATGGGAAAAGTTGTCTGAATGAAAAAGTTGTTCCGCGCGTGCGGCGTAACGCGACTTTCGATCCGGAAAGCAGACGGGAAAAATGAAAGACCTAGACGACCGAACTGGTTTTCCACCTGGCCTCGAGATTTTTCGAGCACTCGCGGGCTACGAAATCGCAATATTGGATCTAGACTCGCGATCGATCGATCGATCTTGCACATCGGGTACAAACTTCGACCGTTGGCACATTCCTATCTTATCGGAATAATTCGTGCATTTTAAAATTAGTATCTCTTTATTAATTAACTTTTGGAAAATTAAAAGGGATTCCTTTTTCAAGGAATTTATTTTTTTTCTTTTAGTATTAAAAGCACTTCGACATCATGACTTGGCGTCTTAAATGCCATATATAGCTTTCGTGTTAAAAATAAATAAAATGATTTTATAAATAAAAGTTATATATTTCGATCTTTTTGAACTTTTTTAGTTACACTCTTGAATAATCTTTTTTTTTTTTTGGTTTTTGCCAAATAAAGAAGGAAAGGAATGAGTCAACGGCAAATTATTAAAACGCACGAGTTATGGCATATTTTTAAAAAGAAAAATATGATATAAACAGGACATAAGGTCTTACATGATATCATAATTTTGTGATATCTATATCGCTAAATTACGATTTCGATATATTGATTACGATATCGCAATATTACGTTTTCGATTCCGATTAGATTAATAAGCGGAGCTATTTGCGATTATTGTTATTCCCGGTCGTCTTGATTTGATCGAGGGTGATCTCGGCGCAAATTCTTGGAACTTTCTTTTCACATTTCCAAGGGGGAACGACTCTTTGAATGGAAACAGACTACCTTAGAAATGACCATTAAAGAGCTTACGATTGAACTTTCGCCGGTGATCAATCGAATTTCTTCCGAGAGAAATATGCCGTACAATGGTTTTAATACTTATCGTTGAATTTGATGAAAAAGAGTGAAAAAGAGAGAAACGAAGCGTCTCGAAATTGAAATCGTGAAATAGACTTTTAAAGTTTTCTCCTGTAAAAATATGACATCGCAGAAAAATTCACATATAATGATAAATTGTAACAAATTATTATCGTTACTGATAAGGTTATGTTAATTGTGCATATCGCATAGCAATGCGAAGCATTTGACCAACAATTTATTAGTTTCAAACTAACTTAGACGACTGGTGAAAGGAACGAAGCATCACAAATCGAAATCGTGGGACACATTTTAACATTTTCTTCTGAGAAAATGATGACAGAAGTAATTTACATATAATAAATTGTTAATTGAAAAGTTATTCATAATCACTATGAATAAATTATAATTAATATTACGCATATTGTTGTAGCAATGCGAAGCATTCGACATGTACTTCGCAAATCGTAATCTTAATATTAAAATTTTAATCTATATATAAATTGATATTTTTTGTAAATAATAATATAAGCCGAGATAAGTTTTAAACAATAAGATAATAGCATTACTCGGCAGGATTGGATCTTAGGTGTCCTATTATTTTTCTTAATTGAATTTACAATACATATTTTTATACTTTTTGTATATTAAGTATATATAAGAAGGATTGCGTCATGAAAATACGATTCGGTGTTTGATTTCATCGAGAACCTTCGCTCTCTAGTCCTCGCTGACTTCTATTGTCGAAGGCGAGACGCTCGCCATATCGGTAGGCAACCTGTCCTTAAGTGTGCCAGTGAGAATTCTACGCGGCAGTTCTTTCAGATAACTGGCTTATCACTTCGATTGCAGTGTTAGATAAATATTCAGGTAGCTTGGCGAAGTGTTGGTACACTGCCAAGAATATGCACTTCACTTATATCTCGCGAATAAACATACAGATAAAAACACAAAGAATCAATTGTGAATTATCGACTTCTTTCGATGCTGGATAAAAATCGTGATAAAGTCTCGCCTCGTCACGGAAAAACCGATGTACCACAGGACTTCTGACTGTCGAGACAAATTGCTCATTAATATGTACAACTAACTGTAATGAAACATCCGTATCTAGTTCATCGAGGCGTCCTACTATCGAACTGGAGAACGTCGCAGGTAGATCGTCGCAACTTCCTCGGAATGTCCGCGATAATCGTTTCTAATATCTCGCCACGATTCGATTCGAAAGGCCACTTTGTGTGTACATTAATGCGAATATGCAAATCCAAACCGTAGTTTG